TCGCCGCTCTTCGGGAAAGAGGCGGCGGGGCGCGCGGAGCGGCGCGGGGGACTGTGAGGGGGCGTGGGCTTGAGTTAAGCGCTGCCGGGCTGCCTCGCCGCTCCTGCAGCAGCCCTGAGCCCCCTCCCCGACCCTGCACCCCAACTCTGCTGCACCCCGCACCGCTTCCTGCACCCCAACTCTGCTGCACCCTGCACCGCTTCCTGCACCCCAACTCTGCTCCACCCCGCACCGCTTCCTGCACCCCAACTCTGCTCCACCCCGCACCGCTTCCTGCACCCCAACTCTGCTATAGCCTGCATCCTCCACTGCTTCCTGCATCCCAACTCTGGTATATCCTGCACCACTTCCTGCACCCCAACTCTGCTATCGTCTGTACTGATTCCTGCACCCCAACTCTGCTATAGCCTGCATCCTCCACTGCTTCCTGCATCCCAACTCTGGTATATCCTGCACCACTTCCTGCACCCCAACTCTGCTATCGTCTGTACTGATTCCTGCACCCCAACTCTGCTATAGCCTGCATCCTCCACTGCTTCCTGCATCCCAACTCTGGTATATCCTGCACCACTTCCTGCACCCCAACTCTGCTATCGTCTGTACTGATTCCTGCACCCCAACTCTGCTATAGCCTGCATCCTCCACTGCTTCCTGCATCCCAACTCTGGTATATCCTGCACCACTTCCTGCACCCCAACTCTGCTATCGTCTGTACTGATTCCTGCACCCCAACTCTGCTATAGCCTGCATCCTCCACTGCTTCCTGCATCCCAACTCTGGTATATCCTGCACCACTTCCTGCACCCCAACTCTGCTATCGTCTGTACTGATTCCTGCACCCCAACTCTGCTATAGCCTGCATCCTCCACTGCTTCCTGCATCCCAACTCTGGTATATCCTGCACCACTTCCTGCACCCCAACTCTGCTATCGTCTGTACTGATTCCTGCACCCCAACTCTGCTATAGCCTGCATCCTCCACTGCTTCCTGCATCCCAACTCTGGTATATCCTGCACCACTTCCTGCACCCCAACTCTGCTATCGTCTGTACTGATTCCTGCACCCCAACTCTGCTATAGCCTGCACCCTGCACTACTTCCTGCACCCCAACTCTCCTATAGCCTGCACCCCACACACTAACCTGCACCCCAATCCCCAGCCACTTACCCCTTCCTGCACACCGACTCTCTCCCAAGGTCTGCATTCCATGCCCCTTCCTGCATCCTGACCCCTGTCCTAGCTCTGGGCCTCTTCCTGAACCTATGCTCCCTTCCAGAACCTGCACCCCATCCACAGACCTGAGCCCCTTCTTAGAGCCTGAACCCCAGCCACCCACCTCCTCCTGCACCCAAACTCTTGCTCACAGCCTGTGCCCCGCACCCTCTCTGCACCTCAGCCATCTGCACCAACCCCAAGCCTTCCCTAAATCTGCACTCCAAATGTATCCCGGAAAAACTCCACCGCGTCCAGGAAACGCATCTGCTCTTCCACTTTTTTGTGTGGAAGAGCAGACGCACTCTTTCAGAAGCCGAAGAAAGGATCTTCCGAAAGAGGAGGCTTTTCCAAAATTTGGCCCAGTGTAAATTTCAGAAAAGCCTCTTCCAGAAAAACTGTTGGAAAAAGGTACACAATTTGCTTACCTTTTTCCGATAGATCCATGTAGTGTAGACATAGCCTCAGAGAGAGATGAGGCAGCAGTGTTTAGGTTTGCAATTTGACAGTTGGTGTAGTAAAGTCACAAATGTAGTAGGTCAGGATTTACTGTAGTGGTGTTCTGACAGGTCTCTGGCTCCGTTGATAATAACCAGAAGGCGTGTGTGCTCAATCACGTGAACCGCATTGACTCGCACAATTAGTCAACCCAGCAGACTCCAAGAGAACTCTTAAAGACCACAAATCAAATAAGGATGGAAGGTGCCTGACCAGGTTTGTTGTTAAGCAAAGTACGGTAATAGTTGTCAGTAGACTCCACTCACCCACTATGCATATGTACCTGTAACAATGGACTCAGTTCAGTCGTGGTTTAATTAGATCATCTGTATCCATCATTATGTCATTTTAGACCCTTTCCTGAACCTGAGTCTGAATCTGTGGGGAGTGTGGGTACTAAGGTCTTTTTTAATGAGCTGATGATACCATCCTTTTGGAATGTGCTTTAAACTTATGACCAGTACCAATTCCTGTTTTAAAGTTGGTACCTATTATCAGTTACTGCTCTACACCTGGGCCTATTGCCAGTTAGTGTTTTACACTTTCAGTCCTGTTTGTGCCAACTTTTGTGAGCAGGGGCCTGCCTCTTTTTCACTGTTTAGCTTTGCTTTATGTTAGCCAAGTTTTGTCCATTGTTAATTAAGCCTCAAGCCAGGGCTGTGCTACATGGGCTTTTATTTCAGGCCCTCATCTTACTACAGGTAAATGGGAGGGGCAGCAGCAGTGGGTGGAATGGAAAAGTGTGGTGATGGGGGATTGGCAGGAGCAGTGGGTGTGAGTGGGAGGGGTAGGAGTAGTGGTAAGTGTCTGGAAGAAGTGGTTGAAGGGTGAATAATGAGGGGTGTCTGAGAGGCTGAGGAGCAGTGTGTGAGAGTTTCTGGGTGGAGCTGGAGTGGTGGGTGGAAAAAGAGAAAAGGGGGCCTATATAGATAAATAGAGAGGACGTGTGATGGATGGGGGAGTGCTGGCCAGCACCTGGTGGCTAAGAGGTTAAACTCAGAGGCTACGTCTATATTGGCAAAATTTTGCGCAAATACTCTTTAATGCAAGAGTTTTTACGTTAGAGTATTTGAGTAAGAGAGCGTCTACACTGGCATGTGCCTTTGCGCAAAAGATGTGCTTTTGCGCAAGAGCATCCATGCCAGTGTAGATGCTCTCTTGCGCAAGAAAGCTCCGATGGCCATTTTAAACATCGGGCTTTCTTGTGCAAGAAATTGATGTTGCCTGTCTACACTGCCTCTTGCGCAAGAACAGTTGCGCAAGAGGGCTTATCCCTGAGCGGGAGCATCAGAATATTTGTGCAAGAAGCACTGATTTTATACATTAGAACGTCAGTGTTCTTGCACAAGTACTCGCAGCCAGTGTAGACAGGTGGCAAGATTTTGCGCAAAATCTTGCCAATGTAGACGTAGCCAGATAGCTAGCAAGGTTGTTCGGGGGGGATGGGGCAGAAGAACCAATTTGGGGTTGGTTTTTTTTTTTTTTTTTTTTTTTGCACAGTTGTATTAACAGATCGCAAATATACAGTTTGAAGCTGTTGGATGAAATGTTAATGTTTGCATTTTTTAAGATAAAAATCCAGAAAGAACATGCTACTTTGAAGAATATTTTATGAATGGACTCTGCCGTATTTGGCTAGATGAGGGTAATCAGGGTATTTTTCTTTATTTTGGTTTATTGGTTTGTTGCAAGGGAAGGTACCAGGGTTGGTATTACTGTGGTATGTCCTGTGGTTGTTGGTAAGAATCATCTTGAGGTTAGGTGGTTGTCTATAGGAGACTATGGGTCTGTCTCCCAGAGCCTCTTGGAGGCTCCCCAGCAGACCACAGGCACCGGGACTGAAGCCGCAGCAGCGGCGGTTCCCCGCGCTTCTGAGGCTTTGCTCTGGAAAAGCCTCAGAGGTGCGGTCCCCCGCTGCCACTGCGGTGGAGACGGTCTCCAGCAGACCAGGGGCACCGGAGCAGCTTACGAACGGGGCTTTCTCGCCCCGGAGCTCGCAGGTAGCAATCCGCCACCTCAACCTCCGGGGCGAGAAAGCCCCGTTTGTAAGTGCGGATCCGACATAAGTCGGATCCGCGTAAGTCGGGGATTGCCTGTATTGGTCTCAATGGCCTGTATTGGCAGGCAGAGGTCTCAATGTACTAGATGCCTAGATGTTGACAAGCTTTTTACAGGCATCACAGCAAAAGAGGAGAAATGTGAAGGAGAATAATTAGACGACTTTATGGATGTTTACAGGAGCTCTACCCATTTGTGAGGGACCACATGGGGGAAATCATAAAGGTACTTGTTTAAAAATTTACAAGCGGATGATGAAGGCTGGTATCATTGAGTTGGAGTGGAGGTTGAAAATAACATCCAAACAGCAATGAAAAATGATAATGATTAGGGCAGGGGGTTGGACACTATGATCTCCTAAGGTCTTTTGCAGCTCTATTATTCTAGGGTGGGAGTTAGATCTGCAAGTGCCTTGACTGTGAAAACTACTTGTTTGATGCAATGAAAAAAGAGAGCCAGCAGAGGGCCGTAAGAGAGCTGAAATCTGGCAAAAGCAACAAGCTATGAAAATGACCTTGGTAGCAGTGTTTTGGGTGGATGTTGGACTTGGCAACTTTTGGCAAAAGGACATTGTTCAATGTACTTTGAGGTGGGTCTTTTCCTTATGGTTTTCTGTTTATGAATCCTGCTTGTGATGTTTCCCCAAATTAATGCTAGGTTACTTCCCTCCTTTTATTAAAAGCTTCGTTTCTGCACTCAGACTCTGTGCAGTCTGAGGGAAATATTGCCTCTTAGAAGCATTCAGGGAATGGTATGTAATTGGCCCAGGTTACTGAGTGGGAGCTTGAGCTAGTTTTGTGATGCATTGTTGAAAAGGTAACCCCAGATATTGACACGGCCCTTGTTGCTGAAAATTCCACCTGGAAGAAGGGTTACATAAATCTACTGTATTTTGTGGATGAGGAAATTAAGTTTGGACAGAGAAGGTGGGCACATAAGTGTCAGGCTGCATGCCTTTTATATAGGTATACCATGTTAGTAGCTGGCTAGTTTTTAGTCAAGCTTTAAATTAATCTCTTTGGTCTTTCTATAGATTTCTAGCTCTCTAGCATCTCTTAAATTCTTTATCTTCCACTGGAACCTGGACAATCGGATTCTTTCAGCATGCCAGAAGTGAGGCAGATCCTTTGTGTCATACCACAGGTTCTTAGGAAAGGGTGTGAGCAGGTTAATCCAGTAAATTTTACAATAATACCACATGTACTTCTAGAACAATCATTTCCTTTGTCATTCTTTTCCATTTGACTCTTACATTTATCTTCAAACTAGTCTCCAAAGTTGTATTTTGTTCTCAATGTGAGTGTCTTGTCATAAATCCCAAAAGTCCTTGCAAAACTTTGTGTAGCTTGATCCTGGGACAAGAATCTTATTATCTTCTGATCAGATTAATTGGTGAGCTATAACCTTTATTATAACATCAATAAAATTAATCTCCCTAAAATCAAACAATAACTCCAATACACAGCAACTCTCCCTTCCTGTCCACATCGTACATAGGATTTGTATAATTGTTACATCTCAGTATTCTTAACATTATTATAGAGTATTACATAGCAGCTGAAAATTACGTATTCAACAAGGGTCCCTTTCAAGAGGTGTCTGGTTACCTTAATCACTGCTGTAATCCTGTGAGCCTGTAGTTAGAGAATTGTATCAAAGCTCAAATGGGTAGAGCAGCTACCTTTTCTCAGTTGCAAGGATGTTTTGTTTATAGACAGAAAAAAATTTAAAAAACAACAAATGGTCCTGCAGCACCTTAGAAACTAACAAAAATGTAGAGGTTATCATGAGTTTTTATGGGCACAAGCCATTTCTTCAGGTGAATGTTTATAGATAGGGTTCACCACAACTGTGTGCTTCATTCCTAATGCTTTTATGAAACATTACTATGAGAGGTTCCCTCTTCAGTCCCTCATTTTCTGATGGAAACGATTTCTGAAACCAGGAACTCCAGCTCTCTTCCCACTTAAAATTTGTGTGGCTTCGGGGTTGGCCAATACCCATCTTAGAAGTAGCTGATGCATCACACCTCAACAAAACAGTCAGAAACCTCTCGTTGGGAACCTGAGGTGGTTTTGTCATTTTTGGTAACAATATGCTCCTAATTCTAATTAGGGTATCCCTTGAGCTACTTGTTCTGGGTGAACATCCTGCATTGTTGATATCTTCAGAAAAAGTAAAACTTCTCTGAAGATAGATTAAGGCAGGAATCTCACGGAACTACTTCTCCCTCAGGTTAAAGGTCACATTCTTGAGCTGTATTGCTCACCTGTCTTTCTTGCATTCCTCGGGCTATTAAAGAAAGTAATGAAAGAAGTAGAAAAGCTGGTAGAAAAGTGCTTGTTCATCTGGTCTCATAGTTGCTTGAGGTTGGGGAGCTTGTTTCTCCCTCTTGAGAGGATCTGAATGGAGCATTCTAAAGCCCCTGGCATACCTGTGCTGTTGAATGCTCAGTATGCGGAGTCCTCCAGCAGGCTCACAGTTAACTCAGATCTACAGAGTTAAGGGGGTTTCCCACAAGACTTATATTGAAGGAAGGAGACTCAAAGCAAGAATCCTGTCATCTTCATAAAAACAAAATTACAAAGTAACTTTCCCTTGGTCCATCTCCACTTTTTGGTGTTTGTGGCAGCCTCCTCCAGTCCATTTTTAAATGTTCCAAGTAATAGGTCTCCTGCCTGTGTTTTTGCTTAACTCCTCCAGATAATTCTTCACTCCTTTGCTGCTCGTGCTCCTAGATATTTAAGATTATAATAAAAGGGTAGTTTTTTTTAATTGTGTAATCTGTCTCTGGAACCTCCATTAAGGAATTGAAGGCCTCATTCTTGCAGTGAGCTCCACATGAGTGGTTCCTGGCCCCTGTGGAAAGTGCCACTGACCTCAAGAAAGTAAGGCCTTGAGCTTGCAATCAGATGTCATTTGAAGAAGGGATTTTTTAGATGTTCAGAAGTTAAGCCTTCCACCCAGCAGCGGGTGGATTTCCTAATGTTCAGCATAGGAAACTGAGTCTCAGATGTTAAATTATTGGGAATTGGGGACTTTTTTCCTCATAGAGGATGGGTTCCATAGTTTTTATTTAATTTAATTTTTTTTTTTTTGCAGGTGCTTCATGTTGATCAGAAGCTGTTCTTTCATTTGGAGATGGAAAAAGGTGTAAGAATGAATTATTTGCATGTGGTGCACTGTAAAGACCAATAAACAGTTTATGCTGATCCCTACACCTTAGTCTCTACCAAAAACTTTCCTTGCAAAATGGCAGCATAGAATGAGATTGCGATAGTTACATCATGTGACTGCCAGCTGGCTGGTTTTTTTTTTTCACAGCTTCTTACAACAAATCAGAAGCATCATTTTTAAAAAATCTGTTTTTTTTCTCTTTGCAGTTGTCAAACCATTTTGCAGATGAAATCTTTGATGTATAGAAAAGAAGGGATTCATCTATTTACACATGATTCCAGAGAAAATTTCCTTTCTGTTTGAGGTTAAACTTTCTATCCCAAAGGTGTATGCATTTGTCATCATCATGGCTTGGCTTCGCGAACGAAGATCTAGGAAGGAAATCCACGTCTTCTACAGGCACGCTGGTGGCTGACGAGGCCTATGCGGGACAGGCAGGGCCTGCCACAACGACTGCAAATATAGGTCTGATCCGGGATAGGTGCTGAGGGGTCATGCATTTGTAGAGAGGAGGGATATAACTGAAATTGCTTTGCATTTCTTTTCCATTTAAAAAAAAATGCTTTCTCATATCCAAGGACAGAAGCAACACTGCTTAGCAAATGGAAGTAGGTACATTTAACTGGAAATATTTTATTCTGATTCTGAGAACTATACTGAATATAGTGTGTGTACTGTTCAGATTGGGTACTGTTTACAAAGGAGGGAATGTGGGTGAAGTGCTTCCCCACAATTTTACAGTAATTTGATTCAATCTGCTCCATTTGGAAGACAACAAATGTGCTCTTTAGAGACTTAGGAGGTCCCAAAATAGTCAGGGTTAGCAAGAATGATACAGCAGTTTATACCGGGTAAGGAAAGATAGGGCATGATTGTTTTAGAGGCAGGGAACTCCCCCTAAATTAGCTTGATGGTGGAATTTTTAATGCACTCAGCTAAAGCACTTTAGATTTTTAAAACTAGAATAGGGGATATGTTTTCTCCCAATCCCTCAAGTGTTTTAAGAAAATGGATGTGAAGTTGCCTTGAATGCTTCCTGTGCCTGCTATTTTATTTTGTAGTGTGAGTTCATTTTTATTAACTTAGTCTGTGCAGTATTAGAACATACAGAAGATCTTCAAATTATCTTGTATCAGTTGCCAGCTCATCATACATGAAATGTTATCAAAGATGGATCTTTCTAATTATTTCTGTGGTGTTCATTGTCATTTAAAATGAAACAGTGAAAGATTAGCTTTCTTTTTCCAGAGTAATAGATTGTAAGGTCTTTGGGGGCAGAGACTGTCTTTTTGTTCTCTCTCTGTACAGCACCAACCACAATGGAGTCTTGCTACATCACTGTAGCTCCTATGTATTACAATAATACAAATAATAAATAAGTTGCTTAGCAAGAAAATTTGTTATCCAAGGGTTGATCAGTACCTGTCTGTCAAGATTTGGCAAAGATACATGGGAGCATAAAATGTAAGACCGTTGTGGCTGATATGACTAACACAGGCATATCTTTGGGATTACTGTATGAACTTTATAAATGTTACATGCATCTTTTTTGAGCCTTTAACTTAGATTGTGTTCCTACTTTAGTGGGTAGGTTTACTGAGTTTTCTCCCAGGAGCTACAGTCTGAGAAATGATTGCTGCAAATCCTGGGACAGGAAAACAGTTCCAAAGTGATGCCACCTCCTGTAGATATTTGTATATATTAGGTCAGACTGATTTCCAGAGGGGACAAAGAAAGGTGTTTGGTATGAAGACTGAGCTTAAATTGACTAAAGGGGTACTTGATCTGAAAACTTACAAAATTGTTAACCAAGAGGGCAAAATCTTGCTGGAAGGAGTTCAAGGACTTTGAGACATGCCAGACCTGGTGGAATCATCATAAAACTGGAAGGAACCTTGAGGGGTCATTAAATTCAGTCTCCTGCACTCATGGCAGGACCAAACACCATAGAGATCAGGCCTGGGCAAAATATGGACCAGATCCAGCCCACCAAGCCACTGGATCTGGCCCGTGGAAGCAGCGGAGAGCCCCGGCAGGCTCCCCAGCTTGCTCCGCACGCCGTGCAGAAACACCGCTGATGCTTCTGCATGGGGAAATCCCAGTTGCCACTCGAGGTTGGGTTCCGGGTGAGACTCATCTAGGGGCAGGACTCCCAGTAATCTTCTATGTTTGCTGTTTACGGAGTGTGTGCGAGCTGGCCCAATGCCACATTTAACATTCCCACAGGACTGAGAGCCGAGGTGATGTTATTTATCCCATAGTTGGCGCTCAGTTAGCAAGCATAGGGAGTCGTGGCCAATGAAGGCCTTCTGATAGCAAACACCTGGTGTTTGTGCTTGCAGGGTACACGAATACCAGGCTGTAATACAGCTAGGAAACTTCCATCCCTGCTGTCTGAGGCCTGCAGGCGTGTCTCATGACACCCTCCTACACCCATACCCCCTCCCAGATCTGGCACCCCAATCTGCTGCCCTGGATCACAATCCCCTCCTATCCTAGGTCACATCCCAAACCCCTGCATTCCAGTCCTCTGCCCTAGGTCACAACCGCCTGCTTCATCCCAACTCTCTCCCAGAATCCCGTCTCCCTCCCACACCCTGGTCCCTTACCCCAAGCTCCCTTTCGCATCCCACCTCCATCCCAGACCCCACATCTCCATTAATATCATGGAAGGAAGATATTTCCAAAATCTTGGAGTGGCCCTGTGTACTGGGTTGCACCCCCCTTTAGGGGTTCAGTCTTCCCTTCTCCCCAATGGGGCTCAACCTCACTTTTTGGCCCGCGACGTCACCTCAGGGTTTTTTATTCCCTAAGCCACATACCACACAAACACCAGCTCTGCTGAGGGGAGTGAGGGGGACCTGGGCCCGCACTCTCTCCAGGTCCCAACCCAGGGCCCTAAGGTGGGAAGTTTCTTCCCCAACCTGACTAATGGGGCTCTCCGCCGCAACTCGTCAGCCCGCAGGCTCCACTTGCCCGCCCTGGGTTGCTTCCTCACCACCTACGGCCTCACCCAGCTGCAGGCTTGTCCTTGGGCTGCTCACTGGGTCCGAGTGGCCCCACCTCCCCGCCTCCGGATGCCCCCCCCCTCTGGGCATGAGTTTTCAAATGGCATACTTGATACAAAACGTATAAGCCTGTGAAAAGGGTAAACACAGGTGTACACACCATCGCATCCATTCAGTGCAGACTGCCTGAGTCAGAGATTCATTTATGATTCATTGGTATAGGACAACTTTTTGCTAGAAATCAGACACAATTGCAAACCAAGCCCTTGAGCCTGCAAGCAGATCTGTATGGACAGACCAGCACATCCATGTGGAGTTCCACTGATATCAATGGAACTCTGCAAGGGCATAGGGACCCACACAAAAGATGTGGCTTCAAATAAAATAAGCAGAATAAACCCTCCTACTGTCCATAGCTATAAGTGCAAAGAACATCTAACCACTCTAAATGCTGAATTGCATCTTTGATATGTGACCCTCCACTCTTTTACTACAAAGAATGTGATTACATACTTTCCTCTAATTGTTTGACATCAAGGGGTTTTCAGGACCTCCCAGCTATCCTGCTGTTTGACTAGACTATTTCCACAAATGGTGTAAATCTGTATTTTTCTTGTTAAACAGGAAATGATCCATGCTTGCACTTAAAACAAAAGATCAGTGAGGAGCAATGTAAAATAGGATGCTTTTTGGCAGCTAGGAGAAGAATGACAGCAACAGTGAGTCCTTAAGTGAATGTACATGCTTAAGAGAAATCAGAGAAATAAAGCTTTTAATTATTATCCTTCACTAACAGGATTCATTATGAGAAACATAGAATTGCTTTTGTAGACAGAAGCTGGTGCTAGAGATGACTGATGTTCAAACTCTATGCATTTTTTTTAGCAAAAGTCTTGCTCGAATGTATTTGATCTACTTTTGGTTGAGAAATTAGGCTGGGAAATACTGCAAAAGTAAGTTTTTTATGGTTTTTTTGTTGGTAGTTCTGCACTAGAGTTTGGGTCAAACCAGAAAGGACTGAGGCACTTAAGAATTAAATAAATGAACAAAACAGTTACTTGAACTTCTTGGAACCTCAAGAGATGTTCAGTGGATAAAGCTGTATTTTAGTTCTTAGTTTATGCAAACTGTTTCAGCTGCAGTATATCTAGTGTTAGAAAGTGCCAATTTTCTCCAAGTGGAAGAGATAGCTATCTGTCTGGGGCCCTCAAAGAGATTTTATTACCTACCCCATTATACTACCAAAGTGTTAACCTGCTAGCATAGAGCTGGGCAAAATATGGTCCACAGGCTGGATCTGGCCCATCAAACCTCCGAATCCTGCTCTCAGAAACCTCAGTTGTCTCCCTTGCAGCCTCACCCCCTCTCAACACTCAGAAAAGCTGGGTGTGGGGCCATGTGTGTCTCTCTGAATGCTGAGAGCCAGGAGCTAGGGGGAAATGCTGCCTCTGCCTCCAATGGCTGGTTTCTAGCCCATAGCAGCTGCCTGTTTGCAGGTTAGGGAGCATGTGAAGTTAACCTCCCCTCAGTCTCTGCCCTTTCTTGCCTCAGCCCTCTGCCCCTGCACTCAGCATACCCAAACCCTCTGTCCCCCTCCTACACCCATACCCCCTCCCAGATCTGGCACCCCAATCTGCTGCCCTGGATCACAATCCCCTCCTATCCTAGGTCACATCCCAAACCCCTGCATTCCAGTCCTCTGCCCTAGGTCACAACCGCCTGCTTCATCCCAACTCTCTCCCAGAATCCCGTCTCCCTCCCACACCCTGGTCCCTTACCCCAAGCTCCCTTTCGCATCCCACCTCCATCCCAGACCCCACATCTCCATTAATATCATGGAAGGAAGATATTTCCAAAATCTTGGAGTGGCCCTGTGTACTGGGTTGCACCCCCCTTTAGGGGTTCCGTCTTCCCTTCTCCCCAACGGGGCTCAACCTCACTTTTTGGCCCGCGACGTCACCTCAGGGTTTTTTATTCCCTAAGCCACATTCCACACAAACACCAGCTCTGCTGAGGGGAGTGAGGGGGACCTGGGCCCGCACTCTCTCCAGGTCCCAACCCAGGGCCCTAAGGTGGGAAGTTTCTTCCCCAACCTGACTAATGGGGCTCTCCGCCGCAACTCGTCAGCCCGCAGGCTCCACTTGCCCGCCCTGGGTTGCTTCCTCACCACCTACGGCCTCACCCAGCTGCAGGCTTGTCCTTGGGCTGCTCACTGGGTCCGAGTGGCCCCACCTCCCCGCCCCCGGATGCCCCCCCCCTCTGGGCCTGCTGTGCCCTTCTTATGGGTCTTCCCGTCTCCATCCAATCCCTGCTGTTCCCTGCTCAGTTGAGCCACCCCGTACTTCCGGGAACGGCACCTTGCGTCCCAGCATCAGCCCCCCTCCCACCCTGGATGCACATGCACCGGTGGTGTCTTGGTCCGTGGATGTGCGTGCGCTGGTGTTCTCGCAGTTTGCGCCAGCCGCTGCTTTTCCTCCCACCATGCTGGTGAAAGCCCGGCCTTCTCCCGTGTCCGCCCTCTCAGGGGTCTCCCTGCTAGTATGGGGTTTCCTTACCCCGTCACACTCTTCCCCCCCCCTTAAGATGTGTCTTGGCCTTTCCTCCTGACTCACCTTTCCGCGATACACGACAAGAAGTCTGCATTTTACTGAGCCGCCCCCAGGCGGGGGACCATCTTAAAACAGTACGGCTGTAGCGCCAGGTACCAGCATATGACCCTGGCGTTGGTACTTCTCATAGTCTGAATCCACTTAAGTGGGGCATGGTCTGTGATTAACAGGAACCCATCTCCTAGAAGATAATAACAGAGTACGTCTATGGCCCACTTCACCACTAGAGCCTCTTTCTCTATTGTTGTGTAATTCCGCTCTTGGGGAAAAAACTTATATATAATATGGGGTGATCCCTTCCCCCCACTTCCTGTGCTAACACCCCCCCCAGCGCTACCTCCGACATGTCTGTTTGAAGTATAAATGGTTTTGAAAAATCTGGCTGTATTAACACTGGGGCATTCACTAAATGTTCTTTCAGCGTCCGAAAGGCCTGCATGCCCGTTCAGTCCATCGTACCTTTTGGGGTTGTCCATTCCGTGTCAAGTCTGTCCCTGCCACAAATCGGCGGTAATACCCTGCCAACCCAAGGAACTGCTGTACTTGCCTTTTTGTTGACCGGGGGGGAGGGGGGAAGTAGTCCCGTATGGCACCTACTTTATCGACCAATGACTTCCATTGTCCTCTTCCTACGGTGTACCCCATTAGAATACTTCCTGATGACCGAACTGACACTTCTTTGGATTAGCTGTTAACCTGGCTTCTGCCAATGCTTGGAGTATGCCTTCCACCTGC